TATTTTGCAGTTTAGAATTCCTTAAGCAACAACTTATGGACATGGATCCAGATGTTAACTGAAGTATGCTTGTTTATCAAGTTATAGTCATTTTGCTTGTTATTGTAGAATTTATTTTGATTAAAAAAATTCAATACTATTCAAACAACTCTTGATAACTTTTTTGCTAGTAACATTAACAAAATATGACCTACTTGAACCTATAACTGGTGCATACAAAGTTTAATCTTCCAAAACAAATGTTTTCCTAACCCATTCTGGGTCTTCGTCAGGTAAATCAGCTGGATCAAACTCAAATACAAAAATTTGAACTAACCTGAACGTTGTTGTGTTTTTGTGTTTTTCATATTCGAGTTTGATCCAGCTGATTTACCTGAAGAAGACTCAGAAGGAGCTAGGAAAACGTTTTCACACATCGGGTTGTTATATACAACCCGATGTGTGGTTGCTGATTTATAATATATATAACTTACAAGCATTAATTAAAAGTTTAGTTTTCATTCCTGTTATATTTTCCCTAAAAAGTTTCACATAAGAGAATTATTAATACAATAATAGATCACTAAAAAATTTTAATTTTTACCATTGATTATTATATTTCATTTAAATAGTAACATCAAATGATTAATTACAGTAATACCCCGACTCACGCGATTTTCAAATCTTGTCGACTCGTCTTTTGTTTGAGCGCCATGCAACCCTTGATTACTCACTCCCCACACACTATAGTTCAGCTTACATGTTCAGATGTGTCGCGCGGAATCTACACATAGCTACAATTTATTTTGTGTTATTTATTTCTGTGTTTGTTATATCTACGGAGACTTGAGAGACTCTACTATGTCATCCAAACGAAATAGAACTAATTCTTCTGCATCAAACAAGAAAAGAAAAACTTCATCTTTGGAATGTAACGTTAACATTGGGTATGTTCGTAAGTCGAACGAGTTAAGCGAGAATGACGTCATCGTTATTCCTATTTCGTTAGACTTTTCGAACGATTTGTTACTAACGCGTTTAACTCGTTTGACTTTACAAACATACCCATTATTAAAGACTTCGATACAAAAATGAAAATTTGTGAATTGGCAAAGAAGTTTGATCTACCGGAATTGTTGGTCAGAACAATTATAAAAAGCAAAGAAAAAATTCTCGAAGCTGTGAAAAATGCTCAATCTTTAAATTCAAGCATCATTCGTAAACGTCACAGTATTATCGCTGAGATGGAAACAATGTTAAAATTATGGCGTAATAATCAAGTAAATGTGAAAAATTGTAAAATAATATAGGTCTAATTTGTTATACATATGTATTATCTAAGATTTTATTAAACATTTTTTTCTAAATTTTTGTTTTCTTTAGTCTCTGACCCCAATTAAAAATTATTTGTATGTATTATATGCGAAATTATAACCCGACTTACGTGGTTACCGCTCAGTCCCACCTATCGCGTAAGTTCGGGGTATTACTGTAGTCATATTAATCAAGGGATACCTGTACGGTCATAAATCACGACACCTATCATATGCTAAAAAGTTTTCAAGATGCCAAAGTCAAATTTGGATCCTGAATTAGCTATATTTGAATTACTTATGATAAATTTTTTTTTTTGATATAGTGTATGAAAGTATATTCATAAAATTATTGAAGTCAAAATAACAATTTGATATTAATCTTTTGCTTGTTAAGCACTTCTTTCTTGATTAACTATTAACTCACACAGTATATCAGTGTATATATACAGTGATACCTCGACTTACGCTACCCCGATTTACACGAACCAGGAGTTACACGATTTTCAAATCTCGTCAATTTGTCTTTTGTTTGAGCACCATGCAACTCTTGATTACTCATTTCCTCCACACTATTGTTTAACTTACATATTCGGACGTGTCGCGCGGAATTGACACCATAGCTACAATTTATTTTGTGTTATTTATTTCTGTGTTTGTTATATCTACGGAGACTCGAGAGACTCTGTGTGGTGATTTCTTGTAACAATGAACGAATCAAAAGACAAGATAAGATTAACGAGAACATTTATTAGCTTACATACATCCGACTTAAATTTTACACACATTGAGAAATTATACCCTGACTTATGCGAATTCGACTTACGCGGTTATTGCTCGGTCCCACCCATCACGTAAGTTTGGGGTATCACCGTATATATATATATACACATACAGTAATATCCCGAACTTATGCGATAGGTGGGACTGAGTGATAACCACGTAAGTTGGGGTATAATTTCGCAATTTGTGTAAAATCCAAATTGAATGTATGTAAACTAATAAATGTTCTCGTTAATCTTATCTTGTCTTTTGATTCGTTCACAGTTACAAGAAATCACCACATAGAGTCTCTCAAGTCTCTGTAGATATAACAAACACAGAAATAAATAACACAAAATAAATTGTAGCTATGTGTCGATTCCGCGAACACATCCGAACATGTAAGCTGAACAATAGTGTGGGGGGAGTGAGTAATTAAGAGTTGCATGAAGCTCAAACAAAAGACGAATCGATGAGATTTGAAAATTGCGTAACTCCAGGTTCGCATAAGTCGAGGTATTACTGTATACAGATCTATCTGTGTATCTGTGTATATGTTACTGCTAAAGCTCGAAACTCGTTAATCTGCAGATTAACTAGCGTGATCCGTTAAAGTTGTGAAAATTGTTCCATTTCTCAAATTACCTAGATAAAGTGCAGAGTATCTAGGTAATCCGCACATTACCTACTAGGCACTCGGTAAAGTAAAAATAAGATCTTTGCCACAAATAAATGTACCACAAATAGGTGTGCTTGTCACAGAAACCAATTGCTATTAAATTCAAAGTGTCGCCAATCTTTAGACTGCACAATTGGATAATGTTACCTATGGTGGGTAAAATGGCGGCTCCTCTCTGATTCCAGCAAACAGAAGAAAGGAAACAGTGGGGACACAGGTTCAAACCTAACCTAACCTATTCTAATAATTTGGTTGGTAATAATTATGGTAATTTATTAATTAATTAAAATAGGTTAGGTTAGGTTAGGACAGAACGTGCGTCTCCACTGTTTCCTTTCTTCTGTTTGCTGGAATCAGAGACGAGCCGCCATTTTACTCACCATAGGTAACATTAACTGCACAATTACATCATGCGATCACCAGAAAAAGTATGATAACTTTATTATTTTTCGTCTCCGGTCCAAAAGCAGGGTAAAAGTAGGACGACTTCAACGAGTCGTCTCGGTCCCCTCAATTCAGATAGATACTCAAAGTCCCGAAATTCCATAGGTGGTTATCTATATAATAATTTCCCTAATTGTATTAATATTTTAAATTGTTTGATTTTTTGTATGTTTTTTAATTGGTTGATGATTGATCTATCAACTAATTTGTTGATTGTTTGATTGTATTAACTCGATTCTTTAGATATCAAAAATTAAATAAAAAACATTATGTTAATTTAAGCGTACAGAAACGTTGCTATTGTTCCAGCAAAGATCTTATTTCCACTTTACCGAGTGCCTAGTAGGTAATTTGAAGATTACCTAGATAATCTGCACATTACCTAGGTAATTTGAGAAATAGAACAATTTTAGCAACTTTAACGGATCACGCTAGTTAATCTGCAGATTAACGAGTTTCCGAGCTTTAGCGGTAACATATACATATATATCAATACATATACCATAAATGTTTTGCATATCTGTGCTTATAAGAAGTGATATTGATAAACTCTTATATTTGTTTTTATTGTGGCTGCAGAATCAAAATTCTTCTATTTAAATTGTTGTTAGAATTAAATGCATTAAAATGATAATCAACTATAATTTTCTTAAACCTTACATACAAATTTGAAATTATTCTGCGTTTAATTTGATTTTAAGATTAAATTAAAGGTACAAAATTATTTTATAAATAATCTAATGAATCTAACTGTAGAATTATTAAAGACTAGCAGGTGGGCCCGGCTTTGTTCAGGCAAAAGTAACGATAACTAAGATAAAGATTATTATGTTACAGTCAACCTTAGCCGTTTTCACAAAATGCAAGAATTGTTTCCAGACTAATTAGAGAATTTTTAGATGGTTCTAAAAATATGTTCGATTTCCCGCAAAAACTGCATCTGCGCCTGTAAATCTTGCACGTCGCTTTCTCTTAACAATTCCATTATTACATAACACTTCCATTGTTACTTAAAACTTCCATTGTTACTTAACACTTCCATTGTTGATGGAAGTGTTAAGCCTTAATTTCTCCCCCCAGGGGGAATTTCGAAAAATCCCTTCTTAGTGTGCGTTCTCGTGATGTATCCTAACTGTGTACCAAATTTCAACTTTCAACTCCTAACCGTTTGGGTTCGTATCCATAATGTATATAGAAGCCTTAATCCTGTCTCTCTCCCCTGGGGGGATTTCGAAAAATCCCGTCTCAGTGTGCGTTCTCGTGACGTACCCTAACTGTGTACCAAATTTCAACTTTCAACTCCTAACCGTTTGGGCTCGTATCCATAATGTATATAGAAGCCTTAATCCTGTCTCTCTCCCCCCCGGGGGGAATTTCGAAAAATCCCTTCTTAGTGTGCGTTCTCGTGATGTATCCTAACTGTGTACCAAATTTCAACTTTCAACTCCTAACCGTTTGGGTTCGTATCCATAATGTATATAGAAGCCTTAATCCTGTCTCTCTCTCCTGGGGGGGATTTCGAAAAATCCCGTCTCAGTGTGCGTTCTCGTGACGTACCCTAACTGTGTACCAAATTTCAACTTTCAACTCCTAACCGTTTGGGCTGTGCACTTATTATTATTATTATCATCATCATTATTATTATTGTTATCATCAACCCGTCTCGATTATATTATAGATGTATCCATTAATGTTAAGTATATCTAGAATAATTAGTTTAATAAATTTAAAATTAAATTATAGATTTCTTTAATTTAATAATCAAAGTTATAAAGATTTTTTGATACGGATCAGAAGTTTAAAAATTATCAAAAATTATTATATGAATGTAATTATAATTAAAAATAACTAACTTTATCTAGAGCTTCTTGTAAGACAGGTTCTGCCTCTTCGTATTTTCCTTGCCCTATTAATGCAGCTGCCTGTCCATTCAACAATAAAGGAGTTGATGCATATTTATCACTCAATTCCTGATATATATAATAAGAATCTTGTAATTTTTCTGCTCCCTGAAAGAAAAAACTTGTTCAATTAATCAGTACTTATATTTTTAATTACATAAAAGACTTCTTTTTAATAATTTTACCATTGAAAGTCCAACCCAAGCTTGAGCAAGCTGAGTTAATGTTGCATCTTCATCCTTTTCTTGCATTCTTTTCAGTTCTTTTCTATTGTAAATAAAGCATTTATATCTTAAAATTTAATGGTAACAACAATAATAAGAAGTATTATATACAAATGTTCATACTTAGCCAGATCAATACGATCTATTTTCAAGTAAATTTGCAACATTAATGCAGAGCTGTAAGGAATATTATTTAAAAATTATTAGTATTAAAAAAGTTACTTAACATTTTTATTATAATATATAATTATTAGGTTCTAATTATAATATTAAGATTTTAATCAATAATTCAAATTTTAACTGCAAAAAATCTTAAAGTAAATTTCTAAACTTTATGTATTATAAGAATTAATCTTTATAAATTGTTCATCATTCAGATTTAATAAATATTATCTATATTTGATAAGTTGTTCATAATTGCTATATTTTAAAATATTAATAATTTCTGATCAATGAAATTTAATTGAAATCTAATTTCTGATCTAGTATTGTTTATCAAGGTTGTTTTTCTATAAAAGAGGAAGAATGAGTCTTACTCATTCCCAGTTTTACCTGTTATTCTAAGGACTTAGATTTGTCTGTAGTTAACATAGGAAGTACATTTAATAAAAAAACTATCATTTTCACTGTTAACTGGTATGCATTTTATAATATTTTGATGTTTTGTAAAATGAAAGCAAAAGGTCATCAATGCTTTAGATTTTATAAATGGTAATCCTAGGTCAAAAATACATAGATATACTAAAATAAATGACAAATAAAATATTTGAAGCAATTTTTTAATCTTAGTTGGCATGATTTAAAAAAAAGACATCAACTTATAATTTTTTAAAACACTTTTTCTTTTTTGGGAGTTGTATTCAATAGTTTTCTAGGGCCGAACAGATGGCCAAACGAATAAGGTGGTGGTCTACCAGTCTGGTTATCCGGGATCGAATTCGAACAAGTAGAAAAAAACCCAGAAAATTTTTAGGGATAATTTCCCCAAATATTCATGGAACCCATTGTGAGCCTGGGCGAATTCATAATGGGCTTGCTACAAAAAAGGACCTCTTAGTGACCATATAGTAAAAAGAGCAAAAAATGCCTCCCCTTACGCTTGTAAAACATATAAAATAATCTATTTAATTAATTTAAAAATGTGTTTAGAGCCATTTATCATTTTAAACAATTTATTTTTAGTAAAAGTTTTTGACCGGTTGAAATGCTTAACTCGAAACTCGATTTAAGTTTTACTTCTTAAAAAAGTAAATAAATAAACAAATGAATAATTTATTATTAAGTAATACCTTTAAAAATAATTCATTTTTCATCAACAAGATTGATATAACTTTATTGAAAAGAATTTTTAAAAAATGTATTCCTATCCTTATCCCGTATTAGAATAATCTTACTTTAAACTAGCATTAATATAATTAATGATAAGTAAACTCAAAAGAGATTCTTATTTTTCACAAAAATAATAACATAGTCGAATAATCAATATTAGTTAAATAAACTTATATTCATTCATCAGAAGCAAACTTCGTCTTGTATTACGTTGAACTTGTGAAAGGAAAAACTGTCGAGGCAGGAAATAATGTTCGTTCAAGTAGAAACATGGTCGGACGTGCAAAGAATGAAACTTCCATGTTCGATCTGTCGTCTGGTTAATCCATTTTAAGAATAAAAGAATGTTCAATTTATGACACGGCACACTGAACTTGTCAGTTTTAAGTCTTTTGATGGAAGACCCACTACTTTAACCAAAAAGATGATCAAATTTTCTTGAATTGGACCTAGCATATTTGCCGGATACATTTCGAAAAATTAAAAATTTTCAAGCTAAAAATTCCTAAAATAATTACATATTATGTCCAAGATCCATCTAGTGTCTGCTTTATACAATAAAAATAAGTCAGACAGCATCTTTCCCCGTATATGACAGTTATTACTTAAATTTAATTATAATTATGAAGTTTCTTTAGAAATGGATTCTTACTTGAACGCCACAAACATCAAAACTAGAAAGAGAAAAAGGTTAGCAGCAATGTTATAAATAAGTAAATTGAACCATGCAGAAACAACATTAAAACTAGACATAATAACAATATTATTACATCTATTTTTAGTCTTATTCCTTTCATTATACTACATTGTTTTCAGTACAATTCAGAATTTTATTATTATTATTATTATTAATAAATTCGATATCTTCAGGAAGAAACATTATAAAGCAAATTAAAATAAATTTATTTTATTTCATAAAATTTCATTACTAGTAACTTGTCTCTTATTATGAATTTATTAAATATTATATACATTATAGTGTAGATATTATACAATGTTTTAAGAGTTGTGTTCTATATATTCACATATTTGAACTTAGTCAAATTAGTTTAAAATTCTCCCATGTAACGATTTAATCATTAAAAAAAGTCAAACTATGTACAAAATATNGGAAAAAAAAACAAAATTACTTTCTGAACAATCCAATAATTAATCATTATCCAATAAATGGTGAATATTCAAACTTTAAGTGACATGACAACATTTTATACATACATACATATACAATAGGTAAAGTATAACAAATTATACTTTTTATAATTTATTTTGTATACTAGTACATTCTATATATTAACAGGACTTATTATACTGGAATTATGGATGCAGATGTTTAGTCTTACAGTTTAAAAATAATGTTCTTTATTAAGTATTCTTTAGTAAGTTCTTTATTTTTAAACTGTAAGACTAAACATCTGCATCCATAATTCCAGTATAATAAGTCCTGTTAATATATAGAATGTACTAGTATATAAAATAAATTATAAAAAGTGTTAAAAAAGGACAAAAAGGCATAATAAATATAACAAATTATAATTTAATCAAACAATCTAATAGTTTTTCAATTTTGAGAAATTATGTTTGATTTCAGGAAAAATATTGTTTCTTCAAAAAATAAGAGCTATTTCTATCTTGCAACTTAAAAGTTCATCTAAAATTACTATAATACATATGAGTTGAATTTTTAAAACAAAGCTATATTTGTAAGAAAAATCCTGATAAGTTCTTTTAATCATTCCATATATAAAAATATTTTTATTTCATTTCTTAAAACTTTCTTCATAATTTATAATATATAAATTTCACATTAACTCCTACACAATATTGTAGATGTTAATGAAAATAGTATTTCAGTTAAAATGTATGATAGCATTTCAAGTTTCTTCCAGCAGAAATATTTTATTTATCAAATGTTTTTGGCCACGTGGACAGAAATTCTCGTGATCACACATTAACTGACTGGAACATGGAATATAGAACCCATATTTTTTAATTTAAACATTTTCAAATGTATGTGTTCCATATTCCAATAAGTTGATGTTGATATTTGATATTGAGAATGGCTGTCCAGTTAACCAAAAACATTTGATAAATAAAATATTTTTGCTGTAATATGCTTGAATTGTTATCATTTATTCAATTCACCAGTTTATGAGATTTATTATAATTTATTATGTTTAAATTTGATTAATAAATAAATAGATAATAATGGATTGAATGTTATTTGATTTCATTTAATATTAGATTTTCATCACTGTTTCACATTTAAAAAATAACTACTACTAAAACCATCCGCATCTGTAAATAAAGCATTATAATTTTTTAAGTTTTTATTTTGAAATTAAATAATGAAATTTCTTTATACATACATTTAAATCACACAATAATTTTAATAAAACTAATGCCATGCATTATAAACATTAAACTATCATTACATACCACTCTAAAGATTCAGCTTGTTGCAATATTCTTAGTGCACCTTCATAGTTTTGTTCATGATAATAAATGCTTCCAGCTATTAATATCATCATTGTGTTTGAAACATTAATGTTCTTTTTAACTTGTTGATCTAAATCATTAACAACTTGAACTCTGAAAATTAAAAAACAAAATATATTATTTTAAAAGTTTTAAAATATTTATTATAAATAAATTATTAAATGAAATATTTTAAAATAAAATATTCTTAAACAAATAAATATTTAACATAGAAAATTAAGTAATCATTATAACTTTGATTATTAAATTACTTACTTTCTTGATTGATCACTTGATAAGTAATCAGCTAACAATCTTAAACAATAGAGTTCTTCAGCTGCTCCGGATTTAATTTCATCTAAGACTACTCCATATTTCCTTTGAGCCAAGTAAGCACGATACATATAAATATCTTTCTCAATTTTCAATTCAGGATTATTTAACTGAAATATATATAAAGTTAGATTAAAGCTAATTCAGCTTGTTAATTAGCATGTATAAATTTTAATTTGGTAAAAATTTATAAAATTTTATAAAAATTTGTAAAATTTATAAAATCTTCATAACTAATTTAGAAGCTAAAATTGAAATAAGTTAAAAACTTAAAAATTTCTCAAGAATAATAAATAATTTACATGTGGCATGATAATCATTCAATTATGTGGATATATAATTCTTAGACAAAAAAATGTATAACTAATTATTCTTAATTCAGGGATTGCTTGTTTTTATTTATAATATTTATAAATAAATACTAAAATCAATATTACTTAATAAGCAATGCATTCTTTAAATATTTAATGTTCTTAGAATGTCAAATTATTGAAATTAAATTGATTAATATCTAAACTCAAAAGTTTAAACGTGTTTTTTTCAATTTGATCAATATATTTTGTTATAATTCAAGAAATTTCATGTTGCAGTTTCTGAATTAAGAATGGTTAGTTATAAATTAGCTTGTCTATGTCTGAAAAGTATATTCTTGAATTCAAGAATATACTTCTCAGACATAGACAAGCTAATTTATAACTAACTTGGGGGGTTTCCCACCCATCCAAGAATTTTAGACCTCATACAGGAGGTCTAAAATTCTTGGATGGGTGGGAAACCCCCCATTCAAAGTTCACATCTTACATTCAAGGAGGAATTATATAATGCTAATTAATTAATGTACTATGTATGTCTAATTAATTAAGTCTTAGTGCATATTTACACCTCCGAATGAGATAGTTGGGACCTTATTGACGCATGACTACATGCTCCCATCGAATGTCAGAGAATTCTGCCAACATTAGAGCACAAGACTACGTCTTCCTGTTGAGTGGAGGATAAGCAGTATACTGATACACAGTAAAACCATGTATGTACCACAGTTTTTACATAACAGTATACTGGTATACACTGCTGGTATATAACCATAACAGTATACTGATACTGTCATGTAAAATCTGACCTTAGGAGGCGAGTATCAAGCGAAGGGTCATTCCTTTGAGTTGCTTGCTCGTACAGGAGGTCTAAAATTCTTGGATGGGTGGGAAACCCCCCATTCAAAGTTCACATCTTACATTCAAGGAGGAATTATATAATGCTAATTAATTAATGTACTATGTATGTCTAATTAATTAAGTCTTAGTGCATATTTACACCTCCGAATGAGATAGTTGGGACCTTATTGACGCATGACTACATGCTCCCATCGAATGTCAGAGAATGCTGCCAACATTAGAGCACAAGACTACGTCTTCCTGTTGAGTGGAGGATAAGCAGTATACTGATACACAGTAAAACCATGTATGTACCACAGTTTTTACATAACAGTATACTGGTATACACTGCTGGTATATAACCATAACAGTATACTGATACTGTCATGTAAAATCTGACCTTAGGAGGCGAGTATCAAGCGAAGGGTCATTCCTTTGAGTTGCTTGCTCGTACAGGAGGTCTAAAATTCTTGGATGGGTGGGAAACCCCCCATTCAAAGTTCACATCTTACATTCAAGGAGGAATTATATAATGCTAATTAATTAATGTACTATGTATGTCTAATTAATTAAGTCTTAGTGCATATTTACACCTCCGAATGAGATAGTTGGGACCTTATTGACGCATGACTACATGCTCCCATCGAATGTCAGAGAATGCTGCCAACATTAGAGCACAAGACTACGTCTTCCTGTTGAGTGGAGGATAAGCAGTATACTGATACACAGTAAAACCATGTATGTACCACAGTTTTTACATAACAGTATACTGGTATACACTGCTGGTATATAACCATAACAGTATACTGATACTGTCATGTAAAATCTGACCTTAGGAGGCGAGTATCAAGCGAAGGGTCATTCCTTTGAGTTGCTTGCTCGTACAGGAGGTCTAAAATTCTTGGATGGGTGGGAAACCCCCCATTCAAAGTTCACATCTTACATTCAAGGAGGAATTATATAATGCTAATTAATTAATGTACTATGTATGTCTAATTAATTAAGTCTTAGTGTATATTTAATAATTATTATATAATTAACTGACTTATAAGCAATAAAATAACTTATAAAGCCGGTCAACTTGACTTGCATCCAAGACAGTGATGTTTACATTGACTTTTCATCTATCAACGTTTATTTTAACATTCCGCACTTGTATATTGAGGACGTACCTTTAATTTTTGCGCTTCGTTAATACAATGCTGGAAATTTCCAATATAAAAAGCATTTCTAATATCGAAAAGAGGATCAGGTTGACTACTAGACGCGGCCATCTTGAATTACACGTCAACTTTAGCAAATTGAGCATGCGCATAACATTTTCGAATTAGACATGCGCGTGGTAAGGAGTGAAATCTACAACAGTAGTCGATCAGCTGTTTTGCTCGAATGTTGCTTCGAATTTTGGCCAGAACCGATACAAGTCACATTAATACGCGATAAAAAATGAAAGCCAGAACTATATTTGGACCGCTTACAAGATTAAGATTATTTTGGAATGAAAATATTTTAATCAATAGAAAAAAACCTCTAGCTTCTGAGGTTCTGTCATGTCATTTACTTAATAGAAAAAAACCTCATTGGACTTCTTATTTTGTTAAGTATAACAGTGTTATCAACGACCAATTTAGTCTTTCTCACTTTAACTGGAAGGTCGAAGATGCTAATTATCATATACTGAGAACTGGTTGTTATCCATATATTAAGTATCATTGCACGAAAAGGAATTATCAAGATTTGTCTACTGAAAACACATTTTTTATGATCTTAAAATTGATTAATTTTGGTAAGGAGTGCTAAAAATATTGAGTTTATTAATGCTATCTAGAACCTGTTACTGGTGTGCTTTGTGAATAATACAGTTTATGCAGTATATTTCACCTAAGGAAGAACTATTTAATGATTCGAAAACGTTAGTGATAAACTGTATTATTCACAAAGCATACCGGTAACAGATTCTGGATAGCATGTTGATTTCCGTTCCCAGTGTTGATGTGTTGTTGATCTTCATGTTTAATATTGAGTTTATAATTAAATGATGACCTCAGAGCAAGAATAATCTGTGCCGGTGAATTCTAATTTCGAGATAATTACCAAAAACTTTTATGTAATGTTTCCCAAGTGTTTTTTTTTTTTTTTTTTTTTTGTTTCTTTATTTCAGGCCTGGGATGTAACAACAAATTTGACTTGGATCTGTTTTGCATTAGATAAAGCAATTACTTTTAAGCAAACTCTGTATGCTAAGGCCGTATACCAAAACTGGACTTAGATCACTCTTTCCTGAGGTTGCCAAATAATCTTAATGTTATACCAAAATTCTAAACCTAGAGTTGTCATAAAATTTCTATGCAGCTATGAAGTTATCTACATGATAACTTCTAAGCTGCATAGAAATTTTAGAGAATGTTTTTGTGTATTTTAAATTTTAATTTTCTACATGTACTTACATACTTCTGGTAGATGTAATTATCTGTCTAGATAATTGGAAGTCATTAAACACTCTCTGATAGTTATGTTTAGGTTTTTGATTGATATAAAGCAAAGAAGAGAAATTTTCTCTCTCCCAATGTTTCAAAATGAAGTATTGTATTGCATTTTAAGCCTGGACTTTGAGAATTACATCTGGACTATGTCAGATTCACATTCATCCTATTGTCTACTGAATTTATCATTATAATATTCTTTCATTGGGAGAACCTAGCAAAGAGATTTTATACTATTTTATCAAAATATACAATAATATTTCAAACAGCAGAATTTGGACTGTTTCTCATTAAAAAAAAAAGTAAAAAAATTTAATTGGCAACTTAGTATATATAAAACTTGTATAAAATAAATCTGAATTCACTTAATTATTATTGTCTATTTTATATAATAAACCAAAAGTGATTTAAGTTTGGTGGATGTAATAAAATAAAATTATTGTAATTTAAAATAAATATCAGGAAACTATATGTAACATAAATAGAAATACAGTAAAGCTTGCAGTCAATACAGTAAAATCTGCATTTGGCTATTGAAAAATGGATAATGGAAAAATTACACAACATATACCATAGTTTCCCCATTGATCCCTTAGCAAAGTAAACAGTAGTACATTTATTAATGCTAATGACTAAAATGAATATGTAAGAGGTTATGACTTTGAACTTAAAATAATCTATGTGCTAAAATTAAAATGTCAACAGTGTGAGGGTATCAATGATAATATTCTTGTGAAGAAGTTGGTAAGAAAGGTTGCAAATCCTTACTTTATTGTATTGCAAAAATGTGGAGTAATATATGTACTACAAGGTGATGTAAAATATCACATTCTTTTATGTAAACAATGCTGTCAATAATCTTAACTGAAATGATTCTTTAATAGTGAAATTCTAAAGGTTTCATTTACATATTATTAAAGTAGGTGAGAAATTCATAAAATCAGGATGCAAAAGTAAATTTTGATGTTGCATTTTAATAAGCATGCTTTTTTAGCAAATTTTTAAGCATACTTTTTCAGCAATTCACTTTTATCCAATTAATATAAAATAAAATTTTGATTATTTTCAAATGCAACATTATATAAATAGCATAAGGTTCAATTGTATTTTTGAAGAAGCTTTAATGCAATTAAATGAAAGTACTTGAAATTTATTTTACACAATTTGTGTAAAGCTGTATTGCTGGAAAGAAATATTGCTGAGTATTGTTTGTTTTTTATGTTTTATTTAACCAATATTATGCTGAACAAACTTAAGAAATAATTTTATAAAATAGATTTTTGATAAATAAAATACAATATTACTGTATAGTATTTTTCATTTTGAAGTTATAAAATTATAAGATATATATAACTATTTTAAACCTAATCAAAAATGAAATTCTTAAAAACTTTGACAGTTTTGTCAAATATATTTATCAAATTTACAATTCGTATTATATTAAAAAAATTTTAATTGTAAACTAGTTTTTTATTTATTGAATTTTATCATTTGTTTAATATTATCACACAATAGAAGTATTTAAAAATTAAGTTGATATAAACAATACTAAACCCAAGAGTTTATTGCTGAAATGGACAGATGGTATGATGATCCTCATCATAATTCATTCAGGATTAGGTAAATTACCTGTTCCAGCTTCTAATTGATTCCACCGTCTTGTTATTGATCTTCCTTTATCTCTTCCGCCTTTTGGTTAATTTATCTTATGAAGGATTATAGGAGAAACTGGAAATGATCATATAAATTTTGTGTATGTATGTATTTTATCATTAATTAAAAAAGCCAATTTCACTAATTATTTTTGCTGTTCTTATTCAAAATGTTTAATATATTCTTTTTATTTTATTATTAGGTATCCCAACCTTAGCTTATGGATTAGGATCTGCACTATTAATAAAACATAGTGAAGATGTGATTACACCTTGTGGCTCTGTTACACTTTATTTTTTGAATAAAGAGGAAGAAGCATCAATGTTTTGATATTTAAAACGTATTTATAAAATAAAAAGTTATTTTTTTTTAGAATATTTGAAGAGTAGAAAGTTAGCAGCTGTGTTTTCAATAAATATGATTGAAGTTTCTGCTTGGGTTATTTCATAATGTATTTATAGTGAAATATTAATCATTTGCTTTTTGTCCTATTATTTTCACTAATCATCTTAATTATAAATTAATCTAAAAATGCGCAACTTAATTGTTTAAAGATTCGATATTTATTTAATATAAAATTTAATAAGTTTTATTAAATATAACAAGTAAAACGGCAAAACCGTATTTGGGACAAGACTATGTCTCGGAGACAGAATCAGCTCAAGGCAGGTCTCGTTCTCATTCTCCTATCTTCTTTGATATCGCTGCTTTTGGGCGCGATCGTTCAAACTTCACCGGCCACTACCACGAGATCGTCCATGATGCATCTTCGATGAAATTAACCTATCTAATTTCGAAATTTCTCTCCGTTGCGTGTCGGCCCGGGTTGAATTTTTGTCGATGCTTAACGAAAATTTCCCGTTTTTGAAAAAAAATAATCGTGGCTATTGTATCGTCCGAATTTTTTTTTTATTTTGCACAAACAATATATAGTTTAATTAATATTCGTGATTTTGTGGTGAAAGTTTTTAGCAGTAGAACACCGAATGAAATACAGTGTAAATATCTGTAGAATATAAGTTGCCTTGGCCAGTTACAGTTGTTTAAACAGTCTTTAATTAAATACGAGAACACTGCTTAATGTCTCGTCGATGTCGCTGTTTTATGTACTTTAACAGAAGTGGAAGAACGAATTCCGAATGCTGTCAAAGTATCCGTGAATTGGGAAAGAAATAAATCCCTATCAGAAGGAAAGTCAAGTCCAGTCGATTAAGTCGTATCCGGGTGAAAGGCCACTTCCGGATGGCTTGTCACATTTGGTGGAAAGTCGAAATCCGCGTAAGAAAACCTCGGCAGAATAAAGGTTTTTGTTTTCCAGCAGAAAAACAACCTTTTCCACCGTTTCTTCAGACTCCGTCTCACGTGATCGTGTTTCCCCCGTCCATTCCGGAACTTCGGGGTATCGCCGCTCCCAAGATACCCCGATATGTCGACGAACTGGCTATCAGCGTTACTTTAATTTCCGTCTCGATTTTTTTACCCGAGGTGACTAGGTTGGTAATTGAGTCCCGGAGACGTGCGCCCTTTAGGTCGATTAACAGTCCGTATTCCCGCAGAAAGTCGGCGCCTATAATAGGCTTACTGACGTCGGCTAGTACGAATGGCCACTGGTAACGACGGCGGAGGTTGAGCCCGAACGTAACTAACTTGGTACCATACGTTCGTATCGGTGTACCATTTGCCGCATAGAGCCTCACGGCATGGGGGTCTTCATGCGTGCCGTTTCTTGAGAAGGGTAAAACACTCACGTCGCTTCCACTATTAATTCCAGTTACAGCCGAAAGTAGTTCTTTAGTTAAAGTAAGATAAGACACAAGACACTTCTATCTCCCCAACGCTTTTCATACTCAAAATTTGATAGCATCAATGTCTCTTATAAGTTATCGTGTCAAATTTCGTTTCTTAATCTTTACCCCTCTCTGAGATATTAAACAAAACGATTGTACAGTACTGTACACAAGAAAAATTTTTCTGCTTTTTGCTTTTAGGGATAAAGAAAACATCGAGATTTACAAAACTTTGCCTTGTTGTATTTAGCAACCGGAAAACTGAACCAGCTATCAGTACGTTTTATAGGGAGCTACTACCATCTGGTGTGACGAATAATCAATAGTGAACTATTAATTCATAATTCGTATTTATAATTCTTTGACTATAAAAGTAAGTGAAAACATAAGGTACGGTAATATATCATTATATATTTACATTAACATTTATTAAAACTAATATGCTATTATAACAGATTTATCATATCAAATATTAAATTATTAATTTAAAGATTTCAATATTTCGAAAAGTGAATTAGTAATAAAATATAAAAGTGTTCTATAACTCAAAGTGTAATTAAAACAGAGAATAATGTAGGAAATATTTAAAGAAAAATAAAAAGAAAACAATTAGAAGAATCTTTAAAGAAATAAAAATTAAATTTAAATTTTATATGCAGATAATGTAGGAAAATATTAACATAAAAGTGTACAGATGTATTCAAAATGTGAGTCACTTCGACACAAACATTACACATGTTAATAACCAACCCACCAACCCCCGTAACACAACTTTCAACTCTTCCTGAGGGAAGCGTGGTAATCTAGGTTCTAGGGCATTTAAACCTTTGTCCTGTTCGTAAACAAGAAAGGTCATTTAAAGCTCTTCAGTTGTTTCAATCTCTGATTAATTTAAACATTAATATCGAAATGCCTAAAGCTGTATCGGACGATATCAGAAATTTAATAATTCAGCATAGAAAAGAGGGTAAAGCATTAAAAGAGCTAGCAGCAATGTTTAAAATCACTCCTCGAACAGTTATTAAAATATGTAAACGTTATAGAGAAACAGGAGAGGTTTCACCGAAAAAAGCGAAAGGTCGTCAACGTCTGACTACCGAAGAGGAGGATCGACTTTTAAAACAAACCTGCGAAGAAAGTCCATCTAAGACAGCGAGGATTCATAAAATAGAACTGGCCTTAACTGTATCAGTATCCACAGTTAGGAGAAGGTGCGTGGCGTTTAGGTATCATAATACATAGACTTAAAAATATCGGCATTTGTGCTGATTAGGGGGTACGGCTATTTGAGAGGTTTTCTTCCATAAAATTAATCAAATCTAGACTAATCTCACTCGAATATTTCCAAAACACGTATAATTTGTTGGAAATGATCGATATAAAATATGCTATGAACAAAAAATTGTCGGAATACTTATCGAGTGTACCCATTCGAAGACACCATTGCTTAAGCTTGTTTTCGTCGCGGAGCGTCACATCGGACGGCGGACGCGTACGAAGCGTGTCACGTGACATTTGTCGGAGCTATTCGGTTACGTGACTACTCATCTCCGACGTGTTCCTGATAACTTATTCTTTTTGCGAAGAATTCGCTGAACTTTAGAGACATCATTAAGAGAAATATTAAAACTTCATTCCATTCTAAATATGAATTAAAATCAACATATAATAACGTATGATAATGCGATAAATAACTAATAATACTGTTCTACTTTTAAATGGCCTAATCTCTCATGTCGTAAACAAAATTGTATAATATTTATTTACATCAAGACATTAGACATCTTATGTTGCATCTGATTAATATTTATCATCATCAAAATATATATCACGATAGAATTATTGTCGTTAGCGAGCGGTTTTTCCTTTGTTGCTTCATATAGTCAATAATAATAATAATTCGTTTCTAATTACAATAAAAGTCTTTAGTATATTATGATCTATCACGTGATGTCTCTAAAGTTCAGCGAATTCTTCGCAAAAAGAATAAGTTATCAGGAACACGTCGGAGATGAGTAGTCACGTAACCGAATAGCTCCGACAAATGTCACGTGACACGCTTCGTACGCGTCCGCCGTCCGATGTGACGCTCCGCGACGAAAACAAGCTTAAGCAATGGTGTCTTCGAATGGGTACACTCGATAAGTATTCCGACAATTTTTTGTTCATAGCATATTTTATATCGATCATTTCCAACAAATTATACGTGTTTTGGAAATATTCAAGTGAGATTAGTCTAGATTTGATTAATTTTATGGAAGAAAACCTCTCAAATAGCCGTACCCCCTAATCAGCACAAGTGCCAAAACATCACTTCATATAAATTTAATTTAATTATACATAGAAATTTACTAAGAATATTTTATTATATTATTAGACTAAGAGAATTCAATCTGGGAGGAAAGAAAGCTGCCAAAAAACAGTGGTTAAGTACAAAGAACGTAGTCGACCGTTTACGCTTCGCCCATCAATATCGACACTGGACGATGAACGAATGGCGCACCGTCTTCTTTTCTGATGAGAAAATCTTTTGCAGTGGTAACAACGGACCTGTTTGGGTGCATAGGCCACGAGGGGAAAGACACAACATAAAGTATGTGCACCCAAAGCACGTAGCCAAGAAATTTTCGTTAGGTGAGATTTTATATTTCGTTTTTCGTACTGATATACAAGAAATAATTCTTACTTTGATTAAATATAGAAGCGACCTTTCCACGTGAAATCGCTAAATGGTTAAAAAAGAAAAGTTAACAAATTCAAAACAACGTTCTTTGTTAAAACACTTATTGACTATTATTTTTTTCTGCTGTAAGTCGATATAAATAGCAAGGAAAAAAACTAATATGTATATTAATAATAACATTAAAAAATAATAATAAATTCTCTTGCTTATAATTGTATTATGTGCAAGATCGTGCAGAGAGAGAAGGAGCTGCTATTTTCCCCGCTCCCGGAGAAAATGTAGGGAGGTGGACCATATCAGTCACAATCTAACTGGGAAAACGTCAGAAACCGATTTCGTATTGATTATTCTTTTATAAATCAAGAAATTGATTCATTTGAAATTGGCGTGACGCCCTAATGAAATTTCTGTATTAAAAGATTGATTCTTCAAATATTTAAATCCGGCAGAAATAGAGAATGCCCGGAAACTCTAATCTAGAGGTTCGCAGTCGTTCCAAACCCTATAAAATTAACGTTACTTTCACTAACAAATAATAAAATTTTTAAGAATATTTTTTATTAACAAAGGAAACTTTTCTTCGTATTTAATTTATTTAAAAGGCTAAAAGGCTCCAATATAACACCGTGCTCCACACACGCTCTCGAGGACCCTGATTATGTGGGAACTTAACAACACACTCAGGCTCAAGTGAAAACGAAAGAGGTGAATTCCTGATAGCAACTAGCTTTGGTAAGCTTCGTAGCAGTGATCGAGAGAGGTGTCCGATTGGATCAAATAGTTTCAAGGCGATTTTGAAGTTATTCGATTTGTGGATCGACAATTATAGAAAGGCTTGAGAGTTTGAGGAAATAGGTTCCTAGTATATTGAGGTGACGATTAGGATCTTTAAATTATAAGAATTATTGTTTATAAGTTAATTCTTTGATTTTGTCGAATTCCAAAGGGGAATAGAATTAAGTTAGAAATAGATTGATTTGAGTTTGTCGGTTTGATTCTTGTTGAATTTCATTGAATAAATTATTGTTTGATTTTTACTAAATACTGTATATAGTTTATTACTAGAATTTTAATTAAATATTTGATTTTGTTATTGACAAACTTTGTCATTATTTAATTCGGTGCACGCTTAAAGTCCAGGCCTGGCACACTAACGCAAATCCGCGTAAAGTACCCGTTAGGGAACGGCTATTTCCGGCACACAGTAGTATCCATAATCGTTGGAAAAGTCGGAAAAATAATATAGTACTTTACAATATACATAAGTATAATCAGAGGTATAGTATAATCGTATACTATAACTAAATCGAATTCACAAACAGAATTTTTTACCTTGTTTCTTTTCCCCTTATTTATAATAGGGAAAAGAAACGTTAATATTAACGAGTTATTTGTTACCATAAAGATAAATACAGTAGATTCAAAATCGAATATCGCAATTGAAGCAAAGATACTAGATAAAATTTAACGCCATTTCTACCAAAGATACAATACTAATTCTCATAAATTTAATTAATTTTATTACGCAGCAACTTGAAAAAAAAATTGTAGACCTATAACTTGCCACTATCGTTCGTTTGAGTGTCTCTCTTTCCTTAATCTCGAGAACGGAGTTAACAGGTGGAATACGAGACTATAAAAATAGACATGGAGACCCAATAAACTATATACGAACTTCCGATGCAAACCGGAAATCATGATATTTCAATTCAAAATTTCCCCCGAAAGGAGTTAAATAGATGAAAGGTTCGACTGTATTGTTGAAGCAAAGGTATATATATAGGGGCAAGCCACTACTAGTTTGAGGTGGAGAGCATATATTTTAAGTTAAATAAATTAAAAATATGATTAAAACTTGCAGCCTGACAAAGCAACAATGTCATAATAAATAATTGCACGTTACTTCTACTATTTCTATGTATATTAGTTTATTTAATTTTATGTTAAAAGCATAGCGTATTAAATGTTTTGTACGTAAAAATATATGCGATATTTTTGTATAAGTAATTTTTCTAGAATATTTACTGTAACACCACATTATACTGCTAGATAAATAGACTAGTAGCACTAAGTTGGTCACGTGATTTATCGATATTTCGACGTACTCAGGCGTTGACCTGGTGAAGATTATGTAACGTAATCTTTACGTGAAAAACGACGTTTAGTGACATCTATCTTAAAGCAGACTTGTAGAGTAACGATAATGCTCGAAGCACGTACAGTACAGTACACCGCGTTACTATATGAGAATTATAAGAATAACTAAATCAATCCCTTTTCCTTTCTTGCAAATATATTAAAGATTTATTCATTTTAAAGTTAATAAAAATATATCCTAAATGTTTATAGTAATAAATATACAGTGTATGTGTTATAAAAATATTATTTATATTGAAATTAATTTATAAAAATTTCATCCGGTTAGGTTATCTTCTCTAAGAATTGATTGTGAAATTGTTTTGTTCAAGGACTTTCCCACTCCTTTCGAAATAAAATAAAATTATCGATAAGTAATTATATAATGTGTCATTTCACTTATTTTTGCATCATATATCGCATGTTCCGTGCATTATAACAATGTACAAAGTCGTTCTCAGTTGCGGAATTTGTCTGATTTTCATCCACTGGGCTGTAGATGGAAGCGGTATAAGTAAGTATAGTCGCAATAATAATTTAAATAGTTTATAAATTTTTACACATCTTTAATAATCTAGTGTTTTAAAATAATTAGCCGAAGGAGTGTGTGGAGTGAACGAACTATATGTGGAAGCGGGTTGCGAATCGTCTTGCAAAAATTTACTCAAAGAGCCTTGTCTTGGACGACCGAAACATCCCGGATGCATATGTAAAGCTGGTTTAATTAGAGAAGAAAGTACAAACCATTGCATTTCTATAAAAGAATGTGGTCAGCGTAAGTATAATTTTCACATAATTTATTAACATGGTAAAGACACGCTTTTAAGGTCTGAAATATTTATATCTCTTTATCAGGTATCTGTCAAGAACCGAATAGAGAATTAAATTTAGATGGACGATTTACAGTTTGTACCGGGCCAGGCCAAGCTTATACTGGACATCCATTCAGACCACATCCCGTTTGTACATGTAAGAGAGGATTTGCTAGAAGTGGAGGCATTTGTATTCCAGTATCTGAATGCCAAGCACCACAATTAAACAGAAATTCTGAATAATTTACATTTAATTTCTTTTTATAAATAAGTAGTTCTGTTTCAAATACAAATATCTATTTTGTATTAATCGACAATTATAAAACGTTTCGAGTTATGAAATATTTGGATATTTTATCGAATTATTTTAACAATTTGCTGAATTTCTACACTTAATTATGTAAAAAAAATATGCCAAATACAAATATATATATGAAACACATTTAAGTTTTGCATATAATTATTTAAATGTGATTAAACACTATAGTTCTTGTATTGCACGCTTATTTAAGTATGAATTATGCAAATTACCCAAGCAAAATTAAAGAAATGTAAGCCTTCTTCTTCTCAGTATTCTAATGTAAATAAAGTTACGAAAATGAATAAAACTTTGTTTTATTTTTGTTATTTCGTTTTATAATATAAATAAACTAGAAAATAACAATAGAAGTACACAGATGGTAAATGTATAAATGTTTAACTGACACCATTGCTTATAAATTTTCAGAGTCCCAATCATGAAGTTAAAAACGGTATGATAACATTCCATATTTGTCAATGAAAACTATAGCAACAATAAATATTTTCTCATGCATCAGCTTTGTTTTTATAATGATTGTGATCTTATTATAACAAAAATCAAAATAATTTAATTTAAGCAGTGATCCATATGAATAATCCAATAGTTCATTCAGAAGTATATAAAATTACAAGAGCTTAATTAATGTTACATATCATACTAAATAGATAGTTATTAGCTTATTAAATTATTTACAGGGATATACAATTCAGACAATTATATAATTTCAAATTATACATAATTTACACAAAAATTAATTAAAAAATGTTTGCTTGCAAATATAAACTACACAAAACCCAGTAACCAAATTACAGTCAATATTTAAAGTATATTTTGCATTGACAATAGAACTGTAACTTCCAGAGTCCACCAGAGATCCATGTTTTACTTTAAAACAAATAGTTTCAATAGTTTCGAGACTTAAAACGTAATTCGACTTTTTGTTGAAGTCTTCCAGAAAAGATAATAAATCTTGAACGTTTGTCGTTCTCTTAATGGCTGTTAATCTCGCTCTACTTCCATTAAAGTCCTTGTACACGTTAAAATTCAACCTACGAATATTGTTATTATCAATCATTTGAAACAGACGTTTGCTCGGTCTTTTATCATAAACACTAATGCAGATATCCGTGAAAATATTATCAACGAAAACGCTATTAACTGAAATGTTAATAAATATAATTACAAAACTTTTGTAAAAGTATTATAATTAAATTATAAAATTACCTTTTCCTCTTAACTGAAATTCTACAGGGTAATGATCCGATACTTGTCTAGTCTGCAAGGATATACATAAATTACAATAAAATATTAAAATTTAACAATATTTTACAATATCAAAGTATCAGGAATATCGCATGTAGTGTGCAATTGTTCACTGTACAAGGACGGTTATTCGAAGGGGGCGAAATTTTAATTTCTTTTATATATAATGAAAGTTATTTTTATTGTACCATGGAGTCCAAGAATTATATACACAATATCCACTATCTGTATACATTTAGATATAGGCCTTATATGGCCATGATTGCTCGTGTCTGGTATTGTCATTGTGTTAAGGCAGAAGCATACGGCGCGACAAAATTACAGCTGTCAACGATTGCTGCAACTAATCGCCTCTTTTGCCCTTGACAAATAAAAAAAGTGATTGGTCCAATCTGTCGTCGACATAACGACGTCGTCATGTCGACGACCGATTCGACTATCGACATCGCCCATGCTCATCAGCCTTTATTATATATCTTCTGTGGTCTTAGGATCCATAAATTACGAAATTTTCTTGAAATTCTTACTCTTCCTCCCCCATTGTCCCAGTTTGTCGAAGCTTCTGTAACCCTTCCCCGCTTCGAACGTCCAATAAAACTCAACCCCCTAAAATCTTTGCCATTTTATGAATAAAAAATTTAATAAAATAAAACGGGCGTCCAAAGGACTTTCCCACTCCTTTCGAAATAAAATAAAATTATCGATAAGTAATTATATAATGTGTCATTTCACTTATTTTTGCATCATATATCGCATGTTCCGTGCATTATAACAATGTACAAAGTCGTTCTCAGTTGCGGAATTTGTCTGATTTTCATCCACTGGGCTGTAGATGGAAGCGGTATAAGTAAGTATAGTCGCAATAATAATTTAAATAGTTTATAAATTTTTACACATCTTTAATAATCTAGTGTTTTAAAATAATTAGCCGAAGGAGTGTGTGGAGTGAACGAACTATATGTGGAAGCGGGTTGCGAATCGTCTTGCAAAAATTTACTCAAAGAGCCTTGTCTTGGACGACCGAAACATCCCGGATGCATATGTAAAGCTGGTTTAATTAGAGAAGAAAGTACAAACCATTGCATTTCTATAAAAGAATGTGGTCAGCGTAAGTATAATTTTCACATAATTTATTAACATGGTAAAGACACGCTTTTAAGGTCTGAAATATTTATATCTCTTTATCAGGTATCTGTCAAGAACCGAATAGAGAATTAAATTTAGATGGACGATTTACAGTTTGTACCGGGCCAGGCCAAGCTTATACTGGACATCCATTCAGACCACATCCCGTTTGTACATGTAAGAGAGGATTTGCTAGAAGTGGAGGCATTTGTATTCCAGTATCTGAATGCCAAGCACCACAATTAAACAGAAATTCTGAATAATTTACATTTAATTTCTTTTTATAAATAAGTAGTTCTGTTTCAAATACAAATATCTATTTTGTATTAATCGACAATTATAAAACGTTTCGAGTTATGAAATATTTGGATATTTTATCGAATTATTTTAACAATTTGCTGAATTTCTACACTTAATTATGTAAAAAAAATATGCCAAATACAAATATATATATGAAACACATTTAAGTTTTGCATATAATTATTTAAATGTGATTAAACACTATAGTTCTTGTATTGCACGCTTATTTAAGTATGAATTATGCAAATTACCCAAGCAAAATTAAAGAAATGTAAGCCTTCTTCTTCTCAGTATTCTAATGTAAATAAAGTTACGAAAATGAATAAAACTTTGTTTTATTTTTGTTATTTCGTTTTATAATATAAATAAACTAGAAAATAACAATAGAAGTACACAGATGGTAAATGTATAAATGTTTAACTGACACCATTGCTTATAAATTTTCAGAGTCCCAATCATGAAGTTAAAAACGGTATGATAACATTCCATATTTGTCAATGAAAACTATAGCAACAATAAATATTTTCTCATGCATCAGCTTTGTTTTTATAATGATTGTGATCTTATTATAACAAAAATCAAAATAATTTAATTTAAGCAGTGATCCATATGAATAATCCAATAGTTCATTCAGAAGTATATAAAATTACAAGAGCTTAATTAATGTTACATATCATACTAAATAGATAGTTATTAGCTTATTAAATTATTTACAGGGATATACAATTCAGACAATTATATAATTTCAAATTATACATAATTTACACAAAAATTAATTAAAAAATGTTTGCTTGCAAATATAAACTACACAAAACCCAGTAACCAAATTACAGTCAATATTTAAAGTATATTTTGCATTGACAATAGAACTGTAACTTCCAGAGTCCACCAGAGATCCATGTTTTACTTTAAAACAAATAGTTTCAATAGTTTCGAGACTTAAAACGTAATTCGACTTTTTGTTGAAGTCTTCCAGAAAAGATAATAAATCTTGAACGTTTGTCGTTCTCTTAATGGCTGTTAATCTCGCTCTACTTCCATTAAAGTCCTTGTACACGTTAAAATTCAACCTACGAATATTGTTATTATCAATCATTTGAAACAGACGTTTGCTCGGTCTTTTATCATAAACACTAATGCAGATATCCGTGAAAATATTATCAACGAAAACGCTATTAACTGAAATGTTAATAAATATAATTACAAAACTTTTGTAAAAGTATTATAATTAAATTATAAAATTNTAATAGGCCCTATGTTTTTTATAAAGTCGAGAAAAAATATAAATTAAATACAGATTACATAAGAAATTTCGTTAGACTTTGTAAGACTATTTTTTAATAAATAAAATACAATTTCTTAAAATAATACGCACAAAATTATGATGTAGCTAATTTATTTTTCTACTTCTGCTAACTTGATTAGGAAATTTAAAAACCATATGTCAACGTTTTAGTCGTAGGGACTTACATTTGTTATTTTAACTTAAAACCCCTGTGAATTGCAAGTAACAAAAGCAGTTTTTAAGCTAAATAAATGAGAATTTTTCATACATATAAAATTTTTTAAATCGTTTAACTCCCTTGTTAACAGGAAAATCATAATGTACTGTACAGGGAAAAGACACTACTAACATTCATTGCATTACTCTGAATTTCAGTAGTGTCTTTCCCCTATCTGTTGGGAATAATAGCGATCAAAAGAGTATTTCGGATATTTTTTCTGTGTTTGTAATTTGTAATTAATTTCGAAAATATTAAATCGACTGCTTATACGAATAAAATGTATGAAATATTTAAATTTACAGGAACAATTTGATCGTTTTAATTTTTATATTCGAATAAAAATGTATGTTAGAAAAGCAACTGGAACAAATGCAAATTCTGCCTTTGTATAATATAACCTTTATTATACACGACGTCACAGCTTCAATTTTGCATCTGTGGTTTCGCCAGTCGTGTTAACAGAAGGGTATCCTACATTACTAGTAGCAGTTGAAAATTACGGTTTTCTCTTCTTGTTTTACAGTAGATAATAGAAAAATCATGAAGTTCTTGTTGCTCTTCTTTATTTTGGGTAAACGATAATGCTCTTTGTTTTCTTCGATTAGTAAAATTAGTTGTTTTTGTACATTTTAATTATTAGAATGAATCTATTTTAAAATTGTTATTTATCTTTCAAGTGTAAAATTCTCACCGCAACTTACCGTGGTGTTGAATGGGATTATTCCAGTAGATATCTTTCAGTCGTTAATTGGCAATCCACTCCTTAAACATTTGGATGAAACATTTTGTGTAAGTGAAAAATCTTAATTAACATTATTATTTATACAATACAGTGGGTGATCGGTTAACGAACATAATCCGTTCCAAGACTTTGTTCGCTATCCGAATTGTTCGTTAACCGATTATCGATTTACCATAGGTTTTAATGGGAATTTAATTAATTCGTTCTGGAGACCCCTAAAAATAAAAAATATATACTTTCTTACTACGTTTATTTATGTGTAATAATAAAAGTACATACGTACACAGTTTTGCATTTTTATTAGTCATGTTTTTTTGCGTTTGAAAGGGTTAAAGAATCTGTCTAATGTCGATTGCTTTTCTCGCTTCGTCAGG